GGTTGGTGAGGGTTGTGTTGGTTGGTGAGGGGTGTGTTGGTTGGTGAGGGGTGTGTTGGTTGGTGAGGGTGTGTTGGTTGGTGAGGGTGTGTGTTGGTTGGTGAGGGGTGTGTGTTGGTTGGTGGTGAGGGGTGTGTGTTGGTTGGTGAGGGGTGTGTTGGTTGGTGAGGGTGTGTTGGTTGGTGAGGGGTGTGTTGGTGGTGAGGGTTGGTGGTGTGGTGGTTGTGTGGGTTGGTTGGTGGTGGGGGTGTTGGGTGAGGGTGTGTTGGTTGGTGAGGGGGTGTGTGTTGGTTGGTGAGGGGTGTGTTGGTTGGTGAGGGGGTGTGTTGGTGAGGGTGTGTGGTTGGTGAGGGGTGTGGGTTGGTGAGGGGTGTGGGGTGGTTGGTGGTTGGGTGTGTGTGTTGGTTGGTGGGGGGGGTGTTTGGTTGGTGAGGGGGGGGGGGTTGGTTGGTGAGGGGGTGTGTGTTGGTTGGTGGTGGGGTGTGTTGGTTGGTGAGGGGGGTGTGTGGGTTGGTGAGGGGTGTGTGGGTTGGTGTGGGGGGTGTGGGGTTGGTGAGGGGGGTGTGTTGGTTGTTGGAGGGGTGTGTTGGTGGTGAGGGTGTGTGGTTGGTGAGGGGTGTGTGTGGTTGGTGAGGGGGTGTGTTGGTTGGTGAGGGGGGTGTGTTGGTTGGTGAGGGTGTGTGTTGGTTGGTGAGGGGGTGTGTGGTGGTGAGGGGTGTGTGGTTGGGAGGGTGTGTTGGTTGGTGAGGGGGTGTGGTGGTGAGGAGTGGGGGGGTGGTGGTTGGGAGGGGGGTGTTGGTTGGTGAGGGGTGTGGGTTGGTGTTGGGGGGGTGTTGGTTGGTGAGGGTGTTGGTTGGTGAGGGGGTGTGTTGGTTGGTGTGTGGGGGGTGTGGGGGGTTGGTGAGGGGTGTGTTGGTTGGTGAGGGGTGTGGGTTGGTTGGTGAGGGGGGGTGTGTGGTTGGTGAGGGGTGTGGGTGTTGGTGAGGGGTGTGAGGTGGGTTGGTGAGGGTGTGGGGGTTGGTGAGGGGTGTGTTGGTGGTGGGGGGTGTGGGTTGGTGAGGGGGTGTGGTTGGTGAGGGGGTGTGGTTGGTTGGTGAGGGGTGAGGGGGTGTTGGTTGGTGAGGGGTGTGTGGGTTGGTGAGGGGGTGTGGGTTGGTTGGTGAGTGGGGTGTGTTGGTTGGTGAGGGGGTGTGTGTGGTTGGTGTGGGGGGGTGGTGAGGGTGTGTGTTGGTGTGAGGGGGGGGGTGTGTGTGGTTGGTGAGGGGGTGGTGTGGGGGGTTGGTGGTGTGTGTGGGTTGGTGAGGGGTGTGTGGTGAGGGGTGGTGGTGAGGGTGTTGGTGAGGTGTGGGGTGGGGTGTTGGTTGGTGAGGGTGGTGTGGGGGTTGGTGGTGAGGGTGTGTGTTGGTTGGTGAGGGGGGTGTGTTGGTTGGTGAGGGGGGGGGTGTGGGTTGGTGGTGGGGGTGGTGTGGGTTGGTGAGGGGGGGGGTGTTGGTTGGTGAGGGGTGTGTGGGTTGGTGAGGGGTGTGTGGGTTGGGGGTGTGTGGTTGGTGGTGAGGGGTGTGTGGTGGTTGGTGAGGTGTGTGTGGGTTGGTGAGGGGGGTGGTGGTTGGTGAGGGGGGGGTGTGTTGGTTGGTGAGGGGTGTGTGTGGGTTGGTGAGGGGGGTGTGTGGGTTGGTGAGGGGGTGTGTGGGTTGGTGAGGGGGGGTGTGAGGGGTTGGTGGGTTGGTGGGGGTGTGTGTTGGTTGGTGAGGGGGTGTGTTGGTTGGTGAGGGTGTGGGTTGGTGAGGGGTGTGTGTGGTTGGTGGGGGGGTGTGTGGGTTGGTGAGGGGGGTGTGTTGGTTGGTGAGGGGGGTGGGGGTGTTGGTGAGTTGGTGGGGGTGGGTTGGTGGTGGTGGGGTGTGTGGGTTGGTGAGGGGGGTGTGTGGGTTGGTGAGGGGGGTGTGTGGGTTGGTGAGGGGGGGGTGTTGGTTGGTGAGGGGGGGTGTTGGTTGGTGAGGGGGGTGTGGTGTTGGTGAGGGGGGTGTGTTGGTTGGTGAGGGGTGTGTGGGTTGGTGAGGGGTGTGGTTGGTGAGGGGGGGTGTGGGTTGGTGAGGGGGGGTGTGGTTGGTGAGGGGGGGTGTGGGTTGGTGAGGGGTGTGGGTTGGTGAGGGGGTTGGTTGGTTGGTGGGTTGGTTGGTGAGGGGTGTGTGGGTTGGTGAGGGGTGTGTGGGTTGGTGAGGGGGGGGGGTTGGGTTGGTGAGGGGGTGTTGGTGGTGGGGGTTGGTGTGGGTTGGTGAGGGGGTGTGTTGGTTGGTGGGGGTGTGTGTGGTTGGTGAGGGGGTGGGGGTGTTGGTTGGTGAGGGGGGTGTGGGTGGTGAGGGGGGTGTGGGTTGGTGAGGGGTGTGTTGGTTGGTGAGGGGTGTGTGGGTTGGTGAGGGGTGTGTGGGTTGGTGAGGGGTGTGTGGGTTGGTGAGGGGGTGTGTGGGTTGGTGAGGGGTGTGGTGGGTTGGTGAGGGGTGTGTGTGGTTGGTGAGGGGTGTGTGGTTGGTGAGGGGGTGTGTGTTGGTTGGTGTGGGGGTGTGTGGGTTGGTGTGGGGGGGTGTTGGTTGGTGAGGGGGTGTGTGGTTGGTGAGGGGGGTGTGGTTGGTGAGGGGTGTGTGGTGGTTGGTGAGGGGTGTGTGGGTTGGTGAGGGGGGGGGTGGTTGGTTGGGGTGGGGTTGGTGAGGGGTGTGTTGGTTGGTGAGGGTGTGTTGGTTGGTGGGGGTGTGTTGGTTGGTGAGGGGTGTGTTGGTTGGTGAGGGGTGTGTTGGTTGGTGAGGGTTGTGTTGGTTGGTGAGGGGTGTGTTGGTTGGTGAGGGGTGTGTTGGTTGGTGAGGGGTGTGTTGGTTGGTGAGGGGTGTGTTGGTTGGTGAGGGGTGTGTTGGTTGGTGAGGGGTGTGTTGGTTGGTGAGGGGTGTGTTGGTTGGTGAGGGGTGTGTTGGTTGGTGAGGGGTGTGTTGGTTGGGTTGGTGTGTTGGGGGGGTGTTGGTTGGGTTGGTGAGGGGGTGTGTGTTGGTTGGTGAGGGGTGTGTTGGTTGGTGAGGGGTGTGTGGGTGGTGAGGGTTGGTTGGTTGGGGGTGTGTGTGGGTTGGTGGGGGGGTGTGTGGGTTGGTGAGGGGTGTGTGTGGGTTGGTGAGGGGGGTGTGTGGGTTGGTGAGGGGGGTGTGGTGGGTTGGTGAGGGGGGTGTGGGGGTTGGTGAGGGGTGTGTGGGTTGGTGAGGGGGGTGTGTGTTGGTTGGTGTTGGGGGTGTGTGGGTTGGTGAGGGTGTGTGGGTTGGTGAGGGGTGTGTGGTTGGTGAGGGGTGTTGGTTGGTGGTGGGGGGTGTGTGGTTGGTGAGGGGGGTGTGTGGGTTGGTGAGGGGGGTGTGGGGGTTGGTGAGGGGGGTGTGTTGGTTGGTGAGGGGGTGTGTTGGTTGGTGAGGGGGGTGTGTGGTTGGTGAGGGGTGTGTGTGGGTTGGTGAGGGTGTGGTGGTTGGTGAGGGGGTGTGTTGGTTGGTGAGGGGTGTGTGGTGGTTGGTGAGGGGTGTGTGTGGGTTGGTGAGGGGTGTGTGTGGGTTGGTGAGGGGTGTGTTGGTTGGTGAGGGGGTGTGTGGTTGGTGAGGGTGTGTGTTGGTTGGTGAGGGGTGTGTGGTTGGTGAGGGGTGTGTGAGGGGTTGGTGAGGGGTGTGTGGTTGGTGAGGGGTGGTGTGTTGGTGGGTGGGTTGGTGAGGGTTGGTTGGTGAGGGGGTGTGTGGTTGGTGAGGGGTGTGTTGGTGAGGGGGGTTGGTGAGGGGTGTGTGGTGTTGGTGTTGGGGGTGTGTGTTGTTGGTGAGGGGTGTGTGGGGTTGGTGGGGGTGTGTGTTGGTTGGTGAGGGTTGTGTTGGTTGGTGAGGGTGTGTTGGTTGGTGAGGGGTGTGTTGGTTGGTGAGGGGTGTGGTGGTTGGTGAGGGGTGTGTTGGTTGGTGAGGGTGTGTTGGTTGGTGAGGGGTGTGTTGGTTGGTGAGGGGTGTGTTGGTTGGTGAGGGGTGTGTGTTGGTTGGTGAGGGGTGTGTTGGTTGGTGAGGGGTGTGTTGGTTGGTGAGGGGTGTGTGTTGGTTGGTGAGGGTGTGTTGGTTGGTGAGGGGTGTGTTGGTTGGTGAGGTGTGGGGTTGGTGAGGTGTGGTTGGTGAGGGGTGTGGGTTGGTGTGTGTTGGTTGGTGAGGGGTGGGGTGGTGAGGGTTGTGTTGGTTGGTGAGGGGTGTGTGGTTGGTGAGGGTGTGTGGTGGTGAAGGGTTGGTGGAGGTGAGGGGTGTGTTGGTTGGTGAGGTGTGTGAGGTGTTGGTGTGTGTTGTGTTGTCTGGGACGGTGGTGGAGCTACTAAACTGTGGTGGATGCGTCGCTGCTAACTTTTTTTCACACCACACACAGGAAGCAGCCCGTGACAGCTGACTAACTCCCGGGTACCTATTTACTGCTAGGTAACAGGGGCATTCAGGGTGAAAGAAACTTTGCCCATTTGTTTCTGTCTGGTGCGGGAATCGAACCCGCGCCACACAATTACGAGGCGTGCGTGCTATCCACCAGGCTACCAGGCCCCGCATCCCCGATAATCTGTCTGATTATCTGTATGTCTGTATGTCTGTCTGTCTGTGTCTGTTTTTCCTGTCTGTCTGTTTGGCTGCTGTGTGTGTGTATGTGTGTGTGTGTGTGTGTCTGTCTGTCTGTTTATCTGGCTACTCTGTGTCTGTCTGTCTGTCTTTCTGTCTGTCTGTCTGTCTGTCTGTCTGTCTGTCTGTCTGTCTGTCTGTCTGTCTGTCTGTCTGTCTGTCTGTCTGTCTGTCTGTCTGTCTGTCTGTTTACCTGGCTGCTCTGAGTCTGTCTGTCTGTCTAGCTGGCTATCTGGCATGCCTCACCGTCCCACAGCATGCCTCACCGTCCCACAGCATGCCTCACCGTCCCACAGCATGCCTCACCGTCCCACAGCATGACTCACCGTCCCACAACATGCCTCACCGTCCCACAGCATGACTCACCGTCCCACAGCATGCCTCACCGTCCCCACAGCATGCCTCACCGTCCCCACAGCATGCCTCACCGTCCCACAGCATGCCTCACCGTCCCCACAGCATGCCTCACCGTCCCCACAGCATGCCTCACCGTCCCACAGCATGCCTCACCGTCCCACAGCATGCCTCACCGTCCCACAGCATGCCTCACCGTCCCACAGCATGCCTCACTGTCCCACAGCATGCCTCACCGTCCCACAGCATGCCTCACCGTCCCACAGCATGCCTCACCGTCCCACAGCATGCCTCACCGTCCCACAGCATGCCTCACCGTCCCACAGCATGACTCACCGTCCCACAGCATGCCTCACCGTCACCACAGCATGCCTCACCGTCCCACAGCATGCCTCACCGTCCCACAGCATGACTCACCGTCCCACAGCATGCCTCACCGTCCCACAGCATGACTCACCGTCCCACAGCATGCCTCACCGTCACCACAGCATGCCTCACCGTCCCACAGCATGCCTCACCGTCCCACAGCATGCCTCACCGTCACCACAGCATGCCTCACCGTCACCACAGCATGCCTCACCATCACCACAGCATGCCTCACCGTCCCACAGCATGCCTCACCGTCCTCGCTGGCTACAAACCTTGCACAATGGCGTCACGGTTAATACAGTTCCGCCCCTTAAGATTCTTGCCCTGATTTACGAGGCCAGCCCAAGTTCCAAGTTTACACCATAAAATTCCCTCCCGGGATTATTGTGGCCACCGAATACTATCTCTGAGGTCCAGTGGGAGGGCCATGATGGTAGTGGCCCGGGCCATGATGGTGGTGGCCCGGGGCCATGATTTTTAAATATTGCCCCGAGGGGCGAGTTTATTAGGCAGCGCCACTCATCTTGTGAGTGGACACACCGCCATAGCAGCATGTACAACACTCCCCAATAGGAAAAAAAAACGCTGGGTTGTTCATCCTGTCACTTGTACCCAGACACAGCTGGGACTTGCTTAACTGTCTCAAGTGAACAGCTTTTCAACCTAGAAGATTAATTAACATCTGTCAATCCTTAAAATCTTACGTTATCATGCGGGGGCAAAATGAGGGAATCTTTTAATTAAGAACAGTACATTTGACAAATAGTATTTTCCTAACTCAAACAATGTGGGGTTTATTATTCTACACATATTTCTAATGTCTCTCAGATGTTTGTTATCAAATGATAGCAAATGATTTGCTATCATTTTATTCTAGCATAGTTGAATCAGTTGATAGTGGTAAGGATTGTGATGTTGTGTACCTTGACTTTAGCAAAGCTTTCGATACAGTGCCACATGAAAGACTGATTAAAAAGATAGAGTCTCATGGTATTGGGGGTGCTATATTAAGTTGGATTTGGGCATGGCTATTCCAAAGGAAACAGAGTTAGTATAAATGGGGTTAAGTCAGAGTGGGAAATGTTGTTAGTGGAGTGCCTAACAACATGGAGTGCCCAATAGACGTTAGGCGTATTGGCCGATAGTTTGACGCAAGTGATCTATCTCCTTTCTTAAAAATTGGGACCACATTAGCTACCTTCCATGACTCTGGCACTCTGCCTGATTGATTTATTAAATATGATCTATTGATTTATTAAATATGGTAGACAGTGACTCGGAAAGCTCCTCTTTGCATTCTTTAAGCACCCTGGCAAACACTTCATCCGGCCCTGGGGATTTGTTTGGTTTTAGTTTTACTAATTGTTTAATTACATCCTCCCTGGTAACTGCTAAACTAGTCAACCTGTCCTCGTCCCCACCCACATAGACTTGTTCGGCTGAAGGCATATTGTTAAGTCCTCTTTAGTAAATACAGATATAATATATTTATTAAAACTACTACTCATCTCCTCGTCATTATCCGTTATTTGAAGGGTTTTCACTTCCCCTGACATAGAGTGACAGTTTCCGTCCACTGACATTGGGCTGATGACAGTTGGCACCAAAGTGTGGGTGTCTGGCATTAAGGTCACCGACCAGCAGGGTAGGTTCTTCATTAACAAGTTCAGGCAGTGTGTCAAGGTCAAGTTTACTCTGTGGCACATATAGGTTGATTATATGTAGGACATTCCCAGTGACTCATACTCATCCCCCATGTGCAGGTCATCAATAATCTGTGCGGGAATGGTGTTACTGACATGGGTAATAAGACCTCGTGTCTTTCCCCAGCTGGCAGGGAGAACTTGTGATAACCGCTGAGTCTCGGGCTGAAGTCTTCACCCACCAGTGTCTCTTGTAGCACTATGACGTCAGTTTGGTGTTCACGGGCGTACTGTATGATGTCATTAATTCTATTGCGAACTCCGCTGCAGTTACATTGTAGTATAGTGAGATTTTCTTCACCGTGGTTATCCATCGTGGAGGTGTTGGTCATCAGATGTGCTGTGTGCGGTGTTGTTGCTGGAGAGAGTGTGTGCACTGGTGGTGTTGTATGTGCTGGTGTTACTGTGTGTGTTGGTGCCAGTGGTCAATGGTGTTGTGTACACTGGTGTTGGTGTGGTCACTGGTGGTGTTGTGTTCACTGGTGGTGTTGTGTTCACTGGTGGTGTTATGTTCACTGGTGGTGTTGTGTTCACTGGTGTTGTTGTGCTCACTGGTGGTGTTGTGTTCACTGGTGTTGTTGTGTTCACTGGTGGTGTTGTGTTCATTGGTGTTGTTGTGTTCACTGGTGTTGTGTTCACTGATGGTGTTGTGTTCACTGGTGTTGTTGTGTTCACTGGTGTTGTTGTGTTCACTGGTGATGTTGTGTTCACTGGTGGTGTTGTGTTCACTGGTGTTGTTGTGTTCACTGGTGGTGTTGTGTTCACTGGTGGTTGTTACGGCCCTATTGGGTCGCAACTGGGTTCTTTCTTTGATGTTGTTAGAGGTAGGGTATCCGGCCCCAAGCTAGTAGTGGCTTTCAAGGGGTGCGTTCCGTAACGCAAGTAAATTAAAGGGGAAGGGAGACAAAGGCACTAAACTTAAATATATAATTACACCACCACCATAAATAAATATATAAACAGTCACCCGGGGGGCATAAACACTATAATATACAGAATGGTCTTCCTCTGAAGACGCAGGAATGTTCCACGGTGCTCAACGATGCTTAGTCCTTGGTCCTCTTCTCGTGGCCTCACGACGAATCCGTAGATTCTCTCGGTGAGTCTACCCCGGCCACAGGCCAGCCAAATCACAGTCCCACTGGGTGCACCGTCGTGGAGGCCGTCAACCACAAATCCAGCCTGTAGCTGGCAGGTTCCAATCAGCAACGCTGCTTAGGCCACTCCACGACCGATACTAGGGTTGCGAGCCCTAGGCAGGAGCCTCGTGTGATTCCGCTGATCACTCTCCTCACCACAACACCCCAGTGGCTAGTCTTCTCCACCAGTCAGCCCCGGGTACGACAATTCCAGGTTTTGCTGTAACACCTCTCTTTTGTACCGCCACTCTAAATGTAACACCACTATAATGCACCACTATAATGGAACACCACTATAATGGAACACTAAACTAATAATGTAAACACTACTTATCCTGAGTAACACTTCCCCATCGGTTGCACTTGATACCACTGTTATGAAACACGGTAATGTGAGCTGACATATGATGGTTACACCGAAACCAAAAGATACACTGCCAATAAGGAAATGCTAACACAAGGATTAAATACGCTGCCACCATCTGCCTTTGACCATTGAGACTATATCAAGCAACGAGGCAAGAAACATTGCTTGACTTGGAGAGTACTTTCTATAACTGTCATTAATTATGAAAACGGTTGTCAGCCACTATATCCAAAAGGCTAAGAGGATTCAACAATTGACACAGACGGGAAATTTAAAATGAGTTTATTGAGACCAAAATTATGTCAATCACCTCTTATAAATCCTACTCTAACACTGGCAAAAAGTTAAGAAATTTGGACATGGAACAAAACCTCAGAGATCACACACATTACCTTAAGACCTGTCTCTCCCTGGCTGAGATGTTCTTCACAGCCCTCTCTGGACCCCGGTGTCCGGCACTCTGTGTCTACTAAGTCCCTACAGGACCTCTATATACAACCCCCACAGGGGAGAGGGGGGAGATCTGCTGTTGCTACCTGCCCCAAGAATGTAAAAGATCGGCCACACGTGCACAAACACTTAAAAAATATTTCAATAAGCTTGTTTGACATTCACCATACACTCTTCAAGAGAGGAGTTATTAATTACGTGTGTGACTGACCTCTGACCTGGCCAAAAAGGGGAGATCAAGGGATGTTTACACATAAGAATCTGGAGTCTAATTCCCTTGCCTGAAATATTACATACTTGAAACTATGCTGACTAAGACTAACCCAGGAATTTTTAATCAATATACAAGATAAACCGGAGGTCATCTGGGCTGACCTCTTGGAGAAGGCTTCCATGGGTGTGAACTCTAAGGGGGGTGGGGGGAGGTCCTGGGTGTTACAGTGGCTGACAACCGTTTTCATAATTAATGACAGTTATAGAAAGTACTCCAAGTCAAGCAATGTTTCTTGCCTCGTTGCTTGATATAGTCTCAATGGTCAAAGGCAGATGGTGGCAGCGTATTTAATCCTTGTGTTAGCATTTCCTTATTGGCAGTGTATCTTTTGGTTTCGGTGTAACCATCATATGTCAGCTCACATTACCGTGTTTCATAACAGTGGTATCAAGTGCAACCGATGGGGAAGTGTTACTCAGGATAAGTAGTGTTTACATTATTAGTTTAGTGTTCCATTATAGTGGTGCTCCATTATAGTGGTGCATTATAGTGGTGTTACATTTAGAGTGGCGGTACAAAAGAGAGGTGTTACACTGCCACGTCACAGGCAGGCCAACACAACAGTGTTAATCCGGGGGGTGACTCACAGCTTCTACAGCAAACTCATGGAGATCCTTTGGCTGCCTTGGGTAGACCGATCCACCGTCCAATCCAGCAGTCCCAGGTCGACTCTGTAATCAGACACGTCATCAGTACTGGTTACACTCTAGGGCACCTCACTTACAGGCTTAGACACAAACGCCTCCCTATCCACTCCATAGATGGCGTTGCTGTCTAAGTGTCACCTCACCAGAGGTCAGCAGCGGCTATGTTATGAGCTGATCAGGATGGGAAACCAGCCCCTGTGGCCGGTATATCTCGTCCTCATTAGATGGCGTCGTCCATTTGGAGGGGGTTTCGGGAGCTGACCCTCAGATGGCGCGGTCGTCACTGCTCCGTGCTTGGACGCTGGGCTCGGGTCCGTAACAGTGGGGTTGTGTTCACTGGTGGTGTTGTGTTCACTTTTGGTGTTGTGTTCACTGGTGGTGTTGTGTTCACTGGTGGTGTTTTGTTCACTGGTGGTGTTGTGTTCACTGGTGGTGTTGTGTACACTGGTGTTGTTGTGTTCACTGGTGGTGTTGTGTTCACTGGTGGTGTTGTGTGTTCACTGGTGTTGTTGTGTTCACTGGTGGTGTTGTGTTCACTGGTGGTGTTGTGTTCACTGGTGGTGTTGTGTTCACTGGTGGTGTTGTGTTCACTGGTGGTGTTGTGTTCACTGGTGTTGTTGTGTTCACTGGTGGTGTTGTGTTCACTGGTGGTGTTGTGTTCACTGGTGGTGTTGTGTTCACTGGTGGTGTTGTGTTCACTGGTGGTGTTGTGTTCACTGGTGGTGTTGTGTTCACTGGTGTTGTTGTGTTCACTGGTGGTGTTGTGTTCACTGGTGGTTTTGTGTT